TGCCACCGCCGAGCCCCGAGAAACGCGCCGGGAATGACCGCAGCCATATTAATAATAATAATATTAATATTAATAATAATCAATTCCCGACCCCCTCTCCCCAGCCCCGCAGACAAAGAGACGCGGGTGCGCTCCCCCCTCCCGGCCATCCCCGCTCCCGAGCTCCGAAAGGAAAAAGGAAAAGAGTCCAAAACCCCCGCAAATCGCCAAGCGCGGAGTGCCAGCCCCAGGGAAATGATTTCCCCGGCTTCCCCTTTCCGCATCACACTCCCCAAAGGCTGAAATGGCCCTCGGTACCCACCACGAACGGGCCATAACGGCCTGAGAAGCTCGTGCTCATTAATAAATTAATTAATTAGCTCTATCTTGCAGAAGAACTCAACGACAACAGGGTTTTATGACTTTTTCTCTTCTTTTCTTTTTTTTTTGGGGGGAGGGGGGTTGGTGCTGAAGGAGAATTAAGGTCCTAAAAGCTTCGCTACAAAGAAGTTTGGAATTTCTCTGTTCGTTGGAGTGTAGCACAGAAGCGGAATAATTATCTCATTATCATAATAATCTCGTTTGATTGCACCGAAGAGGCTGCCCCGTTAGACACGAACATACTCTTAATATTGGAAATGAAATCGTTAAAATAAATTCCCAGCCTGAAGTTGTGCTGCCTTTGAGAAAGGAGGGAGGGAAAGGGGGGCAGAGGCGGTTTTTAAACATCCCCGGTTTAAGCCAGGGCTCTGCAGCGCATCCCAGCAGCCACATCCACCAAGGAATCCTTTCCCCGCGGCCAGGAAAAAAAAATAATAAAAATAATAATAATAATAATAAAAAAGATAAAAATTGCATTTTTTTGAGGTCTTACTCGAAAAGGACGAATATAAAAAACGGGAATTCCTCCCGCCCTGTCATTTTCTCCAGCCAAGGAAAATCTGCCCTCAGCCTCCCGCGGAAACAAACGCGCCTCCCGTCATTTACAAATTAGAGGCAAAATATTATTGAAAAGCGGGGTTTTTTGGTTTTTTTTTCAAGGAGGATTTCTAGGGAATGGGTTTAATCTATGTAAATCTCCAAAAGTTATTATGCACCCTGCGATTTGGCATCATGGGAGCGCGGATTATGCGCCACCGCCGCCTCCTTTGTCGAGCACCTCCCTGCTCCATTTTCCACAGCCAACAACTTTTTGCCTTGTTTTTGTTAAGGTTTGGTGAACAGAAATAAAAAAAAAGAAATTTTAAAAAAAACAAACCACGGACAAACACAATTAAAAACCAACCAACCAAAAAAACCAACCGAGCAGCCAGGGGAGGAAAAAAAAATGGGGAGGGTGGAGAGAGGGAAAATGAAGAGTTTTAATATTTTTTTTTAATTTTTATTTCTTTCTGGTTTGTTGAGTTTTTTTTTTTTTGTGGTTCAGGCTCTGACCAAAGCTGCTTGTTTTGAGTTTTTTGGTTCCCAGTGCAGTCTGCCTCTGTCCTCACAACCTTACACGATGCAGGGAAACCCCCCGAGGACTGAGCGCATACTTGGGTGCAGATGGTGCCTGCGAGCACAGAGATTGAGGGGGAGTATCTGTTACAGCGATACTTTCTACCAGCTGCAGATGTTCGGGGCCTAAAACTTCTCCATGTGTTCCAACAAATAATGACCATCATTTTCTCTTCTTTTTTATTTTCACAACGGAAATACACCGGAGCAGCTACATCGGTTCTCATTTGAGGGATCCCCTTCCTTCCCTCAGCTCATCCCGACAAAACTCGCAGAGAGCAGCCCAGGAACCCGCTTGGAAAAAAAACTTTGGGAGGGTGCAAAGCGCAGGTTAAACCCAGGGAAACCCCCGGGAGGGCAGAAATCTCCAAATGATCTCGGGTTTAGCCCAGACTTTCTGTATTTCATAAACCCGAACAAAGCACCTCGCTCAATTTTGGTGCCGTTTCAGCATTTGAGAGCTACGAGGCGAAACGGACTGAAATTGTATTTATCATTATTTCGCCCGGAGGTTTCTAATTCAGTTTATGGTCGCGACATCCATGACGAGAATCGGAGCGTCCATGGATGAGCCGGGCAGAGGGGACCGGGAGCGGCAGCCCCGGGAGCGGCTGCCGAGGCAGGGATGGATGAGCGGCGGAGCCGGGATAAAACACGGCAGAACGGAGGGACGGGGACACGCGGGGAGACAAATCCCGGGCAGGCAAAACCCTGCGAGGCCGCTGGCGGATTTGCCGGATGAAGTTGGGAGCCGGGGAGCCGCCTCCTGTCCCTGCCAGAAGGATGGGGCTGGTCCCCGTGGTGTGGCCGGTTCTCCCCGAGCTGCCCCTTCCCCCGAGCACCCGGGCGGGCGGGGACCCGCGCAGCCCCGGCTACCTGCACCCTGGCCTCGGAGAGCCCCAGCCGCTGGCTCAGCTCCTCCCGCATGAACGCGTCCGGGTAGTGCGTCTCGTCGAAAAGCCTTTCCAGCTCGTTCAGCTGCTCCAGGGTGAAATTCGTCCGGCTCCTCCTCTGCTTGATTTTCGTCTGCCCTTCGTCTTCCATCGCTTTCGCATCCTCCTTGCGCTCCTTCAGCTCTGGGGACACT